GTCATATAGCCGCTCATATACTGGATTTCGCGTTGACAGTGACAATACCATCGTAGAATGACTAGTCATATAGCCACTCATACATCTGATATCGCGTTGACAATGACAATACCATCGTAGAATGACTAGTCATATAGCCGCTCATACACTGAATATCACGTTGACAGTGACAATACCATGGATGAACTCTTCGGGCTATTTGAGTCTGATAATAACATGGAATAATATTGTATTGGACAAAAAATTGATACTGTGGTACAAACAATATTACAATATTACAGATTAATTTACTTTTTATCCTGTTGAGCTATTGCATATGGGGCGACATGTCATATAGTAGCTATATATAAATAGTTATAATAAGCTGCTATCTTGATGTTCATTTTGAGCAATATGGAAGTCAGTGAGATTGTACTGATGCGGTTTGAACATGGGGTAGATATGCATAGACTGGGGGAATGAGATTTTTTCCATTTGCAGTCAATGTGATACAAATGAGTCAGAGAGAGTACAAATGTATTATGTGTTACTTTATATCCTTATTACTTGCAGTGATTTAGTTTCGATTTGAAAGACTGCAATGTACATGCATCTTATGTATAATCTTGGATAGTTTTATTAGTTTTAAACACCCTGAACACGTGATGTCACACTCAGTATAGGAAAGGTGCGCCATACTCGTGAGCAAATGTGAGAACGGGTGAGTCCTTGTACCGTTCCTCTAATCCAGGAGTATTCGTGTTCCATAATGCAAGATAAGAGATCCGTGATCATTGATGCAATGCGAGGTTAGACTATTGAGCTTTCATTATAGTCTAATAGCTTCTTTTGTGATCCTTGATGCAAGGCTAAATTAGATCTTGGAGATCTTTTTTGCAAGGCTATTCTGTATTTGATCTTTGTTATACGTCTATAATTGATACAGGCTTGACCGGAGCTTTGAAATATTTTTGTTAAGAAATGTTCCTTTTTATTCTTGATGCAAGGAATCACTTTTTGGTGGTGACATAACAAGTATATTAGCTAGTTTTTATGTCATCACTGATATAAGATTTAACGATTACATAACATTATGCCGTGACCAACCATGCAAGACACGACTGGATATCTTAATTTAATCATTCGATGCAACACAGACTAGGCGTTACTTGCAATTGATTCAACACGAATCAAGATGATCCTTGTGACCACAGACGTGGTTTGACTAGATCTTGTGATGACTGATGGAGGATCTACACTAGATCGTCTGTGACCTGTTGTTATACAGTTATACCCTTGGAACAGATATTTGTACCATAGTGATGCAAAATCATTCTTGGTCGAAGGATATTTCAATTTATTCCATATGTGCCGGGACAGTGATGCCCAATCTTGAAGGATGATGCAAATAGACATTAGACATTTGTTAATGGAGCATACACGTAAAAGAATACGCTTGTAAATTATGATAAGATTAACACAATTTTATTTTTATTATTCACTTGAGAGCTTGGGGAGGAGAATTAATGCCATCGTCTAGTTGGCATTAACATATGCCGTGGCACTTTGAGCGATGTACTCTCAGCAGGTTATGCTGTTTGTTGTTTATGTCGTGCATAGAGTATTGATTGTTCCTGGAATATGTTTTTACAGGCCATTCAAATAATGAATCGACCTTATGTTTCAACCTTTAATTGTCTTGATAATTGTAAGAGACATGGCACCCAGCGAATCAGAAATTGCATGCTAGGTGCACAGGGAACTAAACAATCCATATTACATAAGACATATTCCATATTATGCTTAACTGTATCTATTGAAATAATGCATGTTATGCATTCATGTTATTCATTTCCCTTGGGTTAGATGCATTATTAATGACTATACAGATTGGTTTAACTACTTCTACTGGTGTTATGCAGTGTGTTTGATTGACCACGAAACAACCAATTACTTTTCCTTATGCTAATATATTGATAATGACATTTCTTCTGACTTCAATTATTGGCTAGGCATATAAATTGACAATCTGTCAATGTCAGAATGACAAGAATGGCTGGAAGATAACTAACTACAAAGTACATAGACCAGTAACAAGGTGAAGCACACTGAAAAATGGTCTACGGAACATTCCTGTGCCTATACAAGTTTACGATGGCCTTAACATTGAGCTATAAAAGTTTTTGCCGTTACACTATCCTCTTAAACAAAATTAGTTTTGTTCTCGCACTTCGACCACGCAATTTCATCGTGGTCCATCACTGCCAGAGATAAAACAAACTTATTATGACATGGATGCAGCCCCATCCGTTTTGTGATTATTTTAGGTTAATATAAGATGCATATTATTTATGCATTCGTTAATTAGAGCCTACCTTTATTCCTCAGGTAGCATCTTTATCTCTCTGTGGTCATTAACTAATTGCTGAAAACGATGAATTATGCAAAAATCCACGCGGAGGAATATTATTGGCATAACCATGTTAACATTGATCCGGAGTTATGCAGTTATGAGGAAAATATCCTAATGAAATTAGACCGCTGGAGTTGGAAGAGATATCAAGTCAATATCACACTTTTCTACAGTTCTACACAAATTGTGAAGCTATAAATTATCGTTAATAATTGTTATATGTCTTTTGAGGTGCCATGGTTCAATAAATCATACGTAATTGGCTTCGTTTGGTTTAGCTGATTTCCAAATTATCTTCCAAGTTATTGTGAGGGTGCATTCACAACTGATATCAGGAGTTGAGTTAAAATTATGGGCCACGTTGCGTTCCGACTCATCAAGATTGTCTAATTAGTCATATATTTGTAATTAAGATTAACGCTGGATTAACATAGTCTGATGCTTGATATATAGTTACTATTTCCATTAGCGTTTCAAAATTTATTTAGAGATTTCCACATTAATGCTCTGAAATTAGTTTTGCAACGAACACAACAGTCTTAAAAAGGCTACCAGTTTTCGCCATTACTACATTGATATGTGTGATGTTCAATTTAGTAAATGTGGTAAAGTTAGATTCATTATACACATTTGACGACTTAGTTTGTGTCAATTGGATAATTATTGTCAAAGTTAGAGTCATTTTTGGTGAAAATGCTGTGACTACAGTCGTTTCCTTGTCGCCATGGTTATTGAATAGGTTAATTTGCCTCCAATGCCCCTCTCCTTTTCTATCATCAATATGTTTGTAAGACTCAAAAGGGAATGTCAGTACTTGATGTTCATCATGATAAACCATGACATCTCATTTCTTATCAGCCTTGAGTTTCTGGTGAAACAGAAGGATTTTATGAGTATCAGAATGCTTGATGTTAGACTTTTAAGTAATTAATTCGGGGAGGCGTATTGTCATTCATTGTTCCACTCGACTAGTTCCAATAGCACTTGTGGTGGTTATTGACTTGGAAGATACAGAAAAGATATATAAACTAGTGTAAAATGCTGGAAGCAAAGCATTATTCCAAAGAACATGTCAATATTTCCCTTACAATCATTACAATTTCATGATCTGAAAATGAATTGAGATGTCGAATCAAATATGGGAGTAATTGAAATAAAGATTTCAGATGAGGAAATGCCAAATTTCATTAGAACCGAAAGCGGAACAACAGCTTGTTCAAAATGAAGGCGATGTTGAACGAATGCAAAGAGTAGAATGAGACAAACCCAGCGACGCAAGTGCGCAGTCCAACCTGAGTCAATGAACAACATGCATCATCTGTGTGTAACACGAACAACTATTTGATTGATGACAATACAGTACCTTACATTTCCCCATGATCCCAAAAGACTTAAACATCAAATGTTATGTTGGTCGAGATAATGAGCTGTCATTGGAAAATTGCTTTAATATTGAACTAAAAATGCCATAACTTCTCAAACCGATCGCCAAATCTTAAGCTCTCTGAACAGCTGAAGAAATTAATGGGATCAAAAATTCCTCTTGTCGGTATTATAACAGAATTGATGATAAGAACGAATCCTCCTAGCCCACATAAATCAGTTAACAGCTTTCGGAATGTCAGGATTTATAATTTGTAAGCACATTTTCGCAATTGTTTGTAAAAAGAATTTATTCACAGTTGTTACATTTATTCAAGATATTATAAGAAGTTGAATAAAAAGTGTATACACCTTTTCAAGTTACTATAGAAAGATTTCTTTTGACATCGTTAACTCTGAATTAAACCTACCTACGAACTCAATCAATTCAAGTATTTTGACGAGGTATCAAAAGTTCCCTTTAAAAAGATAACATATCCCAAGGGTGTAATAAAATGCATCTATTATAGAATAGTTACACATTTGTACGTTTCAAAACAACATAAACATATTTTGTGTCGGCTTTTTTCTATTGTCTCTGTGGAATCGCAATTAAGCCTGTGGTCTTATTGGAACATCACAGCTCTTGCCTTTATTGCATTCCCCCGACACTTCATGGAAGTGAGATGACAGAGAAAGTAACGTGTTCGTCAAATTACTCGTAATCCCGATCTTAGTGTAAAAATCTCAGAATCGACTTCTGGCAATCTTGGAATTACAAACAGGGAAGGCATGCTCTATTTACTAATGGTGACCTGAATTAACTTCACTGAAGTCAAATAAACCATGATCTCAAATCCTTGAAGCTTAGCACGGGTACAAATGGAATACTTAACACAACTTTTCCATTTTATATGGGGAAGGACGTGTGCGAATATTCCATTAACAACATCATAACCAATATGGCAAAACCCTTTGTCAACTGAAGCATGTCTTGTGTTTTCTTGACTGATTGAGTTGGGCACAGTCAGTATGTTGTTATGGTTTGGGGCAAGCCCAAATCATGATCTATAATGATATATGATCTTCTCCCTTAGAAGATGGTAAAGGTCACGATTTGGGTTTGCCCCAAACCATAACTGTATACTGACTAGAGTGGGACGGGTTCTAATATTGCTAGAAGCAAACTATTAAATGTGCTAATTGCGTCGCTGTTAAAAAACTTCAAAAATTGACTCTGACTCACCTTGTGCTTTGATTTTATGCAAAACTGCAACTATAACTACAGCAATGCAGTGGTGCATGATGAACCCCCGGATATCCATCGTCTGTCCCTTCACTTGTAAATGTCACTTTAACAGGCTACATGATAGACTGAAGAAGATAACTCTTATGTAAATGCAGCTTGCTATTTCCCCACCTGAACTGGGCCCATACAAGATCAGTATATATCAATGCCTTTGCCAACTCGACTGAATCACATGTAGTTGTTGTTGGTTAGTGTCTCTATTCAATAGTAATCCATTGTTGGTTGCAATTCACGCTCGATCTCACTTATATTTTAAGTCTGTCCAATTCCAATACTAAGGCTTCTCCAATTAAAGATAGTTGCCCAGATATATCGGTGTTATCGATCCAAAAGCCTCTGAAACCCCGACACCCCACAATCAGTGATTCCTTTACCGACCTGTTTACCTTTCACTTAAAATTCAATAGGCGAGCAATGTTCTGTCGTTACCTTAGGTTAATTATATCTATTCACATCTATGTATTTCCAAATCCATAGCTTTGATCAATCAAATTTCCTGGCTCTGTAATGTAGTTTTTATTAAGCAGTGTCTTTATCGTGATAAAAATGTAAAGACTCGTAAGCAAGTGAAATACGAAAAGCGCATAAATATTGAGCATCCAGGTGAAACGCAGATTTAATTCCAAAGAGACGCCGGAGCTGAGGCCGATTCGATTGGTTTAGGCGTATTATTTAAGACCTTTCTACGTGCCAACTCTTCTCCAAATTGAATATGTTAGTATGCAGCATGTATACGCTTACAGGGTACCCTGACGTCTAAGAGAGTGCTGACAATAAGCACATTGCTGGCTTATAATCGATGAAATTACAACCCTCAGATAATTAATCTCAGGATGGCATCAACATACAACGTATTCCATATATCAGATGAGCTAGACTAAATTAATTGCCACTATACCTTCGAGTCTCCGATACAAAGACAGATGAAGTATCCATAAGTGTCTTAGAATATATATCGTGTACCTCTTGATAATTCTAAATGATCGGTAAGCCAGGTAGGCGCCTTGGCCGAGGGAATTCGCCATTTAGCGACAAATCGCATTGATCATTTTCAACCAAGACAGTGCCCTCCCATCTCTCTCGTGGTTATGGGTATGGAATAGCAATATTGAACATATACTTGGGTGTCATCTCATTTTGCTGTTGCTATGCCACGAAAAGCTCATTGGCAATCGAGGTCTTCGTTTTCAATCCGGGATCGGAAATCAGAGAAAATATCAGCACCAACGTGACATTATTGGCATTACATTACACATTCACTGTCACAAAAGACAACCCAGTCAATATATAACACACGGAAATAATGATCATAATTAGACATCGTCACCATTGCTCCCATGAACTCGAAAAGGAAATGTGCATAACGACCTGTTAACATCATAACTCCGGATTCCTCCCATGAACAATCCCTTAGTTATGATAAAATGCTATACCCAAAGTGTCGTACTGAGTGGTAATGATCGGGACGTTTTTCATCCCATAATAGGTTGCTAGTTTCTGCTCCTATTTTAATTTTTAAAATGTTTAGTGGGTGGTATTTTTGTGTCACCCTGTAGCTACATTCGTACATTAATTAATTTGTGGGTAGACATACGCTTGCCTCAGGGTCTTGTTAAAAATCAGCAATATACACTTGTATCGCATCAATATTTGGGGCTCCAGGGTACCATTGTCTGTGCTACCATAACAACTATAACTCAACTATAATGTTTATGTTTCTTTATTTCCACCTTTAAGATGAGTACATGAATTATTTTAGGTTTCAGGGTCTTGTTAAAAATCAGCAATATACACTTGTATCAAATCAATATTTGGGGCTCCAGGGTACGATTGTCTGTGTTACCATAACAACTATAACTCAACTATAATGCTTATGTTTCTTTATTTCCACCTTTAAGATGAGTACATGAATTATTTTAGATTTTAGAAATTATTATCATTTATATACCCTACAGAATCAAGAAAATCAAAATATGATATAAAATATAACTACGAGAAATACTAATAATGAACACTGAGATTGAGCATTATAGGCTCTTGAATTTAGCATATTGCAAAACATCTGGATAGGCCTATAATAAAAAAGACTATATACCGCCCATATTTAGCCTAGTCTAAAAATTCAAAGGTATAAATATTTTTTAACTCGGACCTTATTAGAATTTATAGAAATATCCCCCCCCCCTCCTTATTGGTTCATCATCCTCACATACACCCAATCAAGTAAAGATTGCCAAACCTTTGGAGGGGAGTGTAGCCTGAGCAAAAATACAGAGCTTTGGCCATGATGTAAAGATGGCAGGAGCGTCGTTGCAGAATTTACGACATAAACATAACGATCGACTCATTTACGATAAAATAAAAGCATGGAGTTAGACCAGACTAGTGATTCTGAAAGTAATGACTCTGATACGGAGGTAAATTGTTAATTTATTCATTATTGGGTATTCACAATAGTTTCCCTGTATATCCCTCCAATATATGGCCAAGTTTGCTTTATTTACTGACTCACTTGTTGAGATTTGACTTCTTTCATTGTCAACCATTTTTCAAAACTTATTCATTTTTCTGTCCAGTTTTTTCTTCCCTTCTGAAACATCCTAGGCTCCTAGCTAAGTGGCAAAAGCAGTAAATCAACCCTAATAAAGTTTTAGTCAGATCATAGCAGTGTATTACTAACCTTGGAGAAAGGCATTTATCAAGTTTCAGTCCCATAACTTTTTGGCTTTGAGAGAACGTTTCCGATGGTTTCTCAAAGCCAAAAAGTTATGGCTGTCTCAAATTGCAGAGGACCATACCATAAATAAAGAGTCATGGATTTGCTGAAGTGAGGATAAACATGTATGTAAAAGATAATTTTCAAGAGGCCATACATCAGTGGATGAGAGCAGGGCGGATCTGGGAACCATCAAGGGGGGGGGGGCAAATTTCTTGTCTGAGAAAAAAACCCTCTGCGCTTGCATGGAAAAAAATGTTGGGCCCCTAAATCCCAAAAATTCATATTTTGAAATTTTGAGGCCCATTTTCCACATGCTATCTATTGCAAGACTAACGCCTGGTGTAACCGTCACCATGTTATTCGGTGTTTTTTAAGTACCGCAAGGATCCTGCCATGACCGTGGCAGTATTATTTTGTAAGCCTGGTATAACCGTGACAATGCTGTATTATATTGCAAGGCCTGTCATGACCGTGAGTGTTATCGTGGAAGCCTGGCGCGGCCGTAGCATTTACGTTTAATTTAAGAATTTTTTATTGTTGTTTGTTAAGTGATTTGTTTACTATCCACTTTTAAATAAATTGTTTATTAGCGTGACACAAATAACTTGTCTTATTCTGTGTAAATGATTAATTATTTTAGAATAAGCGGAAATAATGTGAATATAATGTCTAGTAGTAATTTTGATATTAACATAATTAAGTTAGTTAAACACCTACATCACCACTCTCATACCTGAACTTGCAATACTGTAATGACAATTTTTCTTCGTGTTTAACTACCTTAAATATGTTAATAAAGACTACTAAAAATGTGTATTAATTTCACAACGAAAACCTAATTTTTACTCATAAATGATTTGAGAACAAACTATATCTCTACTCTCATTCAAAAGAGCTTCGATTTGAAAGCATATACTTTCTATAATGATCAATTAATAAGATTTATTCATAAAAAAATACCAACAGCAACGGGTCATTAATGTCATATAAAGGTTGCGGTCGCGCCAGGCTTACACGATTACACTACCACGGTCATGGCAGGCATTTTAATATAATACAGCATTGTCGCGGTTATACCAGGCTTTCACGATAACATTACCACGGTCATGGCAGGATCCTTGCGCTACTTAAAAAACACCAAATAACATGGTGACGGTTACGCCAGGCGTTAGTCTTGCAACAGATAGGGTCTCCCATTTTCTTCAAAAAGGCCCTCTTTTTCGAGCCTTTTTTGGCCCCTGGGTCCCCCCCCCCCCAGATCCGCCAGTGGAGAGTATATAGTGCTGATACAAATTAATTGATAAGTCGTATAGTTTGCATATTTTCTTGAATTTTAACATTTAATGTCCCAAAGTCCCACAAACTGCAGAAAAGTATATACAGTAAATCATATTTACCAAAATAAGTGTCTCCATGCTTCATACCAGCGTATGCATTATGCATTTGTCACGAGTTTGAGCTGAAATTTCGCTAAAATGAAGTAAGGGTAATCTTCGCCAGATTTGTTTATTGTGGTTAGCTTTTAATTGTAAGTGCTCAGAAGCAAATAATTCATGTGCACAAAATAATCAAATAATCTGATTGGTTTAAACTTTAATGCGCATGCAAAATCCATTTTGGTAGGAGTACTCTGTTTAGTTTTAGAACCCCCTCTTGGATTTCAGGCTTGTGGTGTAACAAGCAATTTAGTTCCCGAGGATACAAGTCAAATGCAGTGAGAATGATCCTTGGAATACTGAGATGGATTTCGATACATTATCCTAACCATATTTGCATTTTGTTATTTTTAGTTACAAATTGCTTTTGCAAAAGGAGAGTTAAAACCTGGTTTGAACATACCAACAGCAGCTCCAAAACAGTTCATCAATAATGTTGTAAGTTCACATATTTGATAAATAATTTTGCAAGTGATATGTTCAAAATAACTATTAAATCTAACATTTGGTAACATCTCTAATATTATACTAATGATCTTTTTGCTTACACAGCCTACAATGTATGTTTTGTAGTCATTGATAAAATCTGATATTGACAGAGACCATTGTCCCAGCATGGTATTTGTTTAGTATTTGTTCACTTGTACAGTCATTGAATTGATCAGTCATTCATCTTGTTTCAGGCTGGCATGCAACAGAAGCTTGCTGAGATAAAGTCTTCACTGGGCTGGATTGAGAGACTTGATCTGACAGTAAAGGATGGCAAGTCTACCCAGGCCTTAGAGGAGGCAGAGGGACAGGTTCATGATGACTTCAAGCGGGAAATGATTTTGTAAGTGTAGTCTTGCCTCAACCTCAAATTGACCCCCCCAGAGATTTGTTGCAAGACTATTGCAGGTTGTAGAATATACTTAGTACTCTTGCATCAAACCCATGTTTCTGATTGTTTCTCTTTCACTCTCGATACATAACACATGGAAATATACATTCAAAGATGACCAGAGAGACTTGATCCAAGACTTTTTTGTGATGGCTGAAAAATCCTCCACATATGTATTATGTACATGTACCAGGTATATTAGATCTCTTTTTGAAGAGCTAGTACAGTTAACATTTATGTAATGTTCATTGAAATCATCTATTTCAGTTACACACAGGCCCAACAGGCTATCCTAAAAGGTTTGAATAATCTTCATCAGTTAGGAATACCTACAAAAAGACCAGATGATTACTTTGCACAGATGATTAAGTCTGACAACCATATGAAAAAGGTAAATGATTCCATAAATTTTTGTCTGGATTTTTACCAAATTAGAAAATTCATTTAAACCTTCAGAATAGCATTAAAGACCTCAATCCTTGGCAAGTCATTGTCAAAAATCAAATTATCCAGAGAGTTCATGGGTGGAGCCAGGCATAAGGTTATTCTTTCTTTTCAGTCTTTTTAACTTTAAACATAAGGTTATTCTTTCTTTTCAGTCTTTTTAACTTTAAACTGTCATATTGAAGTCCAGTGGTAGTATTACTGTATTATATCCCTTTTAACCTACAACTTCCATACCTATTAATTTGAATTTGCCATGTGTGCTATTAGTCTATCTTGGCTATAGTGTTTCATTGTGTTAACTTTTTCAGAGATATTTTACTGCTCAGTACCATACCATACTGTACAAATGTGTTTTTTTAAACTGCCTGGTTGCCATGCATATCATATAGACTATGTACTATATTTTTCTGCTAAGCAATTATGTACATGTTTTTCAGATCAGGGAGCGGTTACTTTCAAAACAAATGGGAATGGAAAGGTCAGAAAAAGCAAAGAAATTACGAGAGCTCAGGAAAGTTGGTAAAAAGGTACATCAAGATAATGTTTAGCAACTTAGTAAGACAGATTTGTTTCAGTTTAAAATAAGAATTTAGATAAACTGTAGGAAAGTAAACCTTGTATTCTTTGAATCCCAAAGAATTTTACGATTGCTGTCTAATAAACAGTGAAAGCTTGTGTGTACTTAATTTGTTTCGACTGTTGTAGGTCCAAGTAGATGTTATACAAAAGAGACATAAAGAAAAGCGAGAAATGTTAGAAGCAGTTAAAAAATATAAAAAAGGTAAATACTTTATATAAATCCATGTTTATATGATTATTAGACTACATGTCCTTAGGAATTGAATATGCATCTTAAAACACATAACATGATACTAAGGTGTAAAAGCTTTGAAAATGTTAAATACTGTGCTCTAAGTTCAAAGTTTTTACATTTTGCTACATAAAATGAGGAGTATTTTGATGAAGTTTATCATAAATGATAGAATTTAGCTTTAGTATACCCTATTGGCATACATGTACTGATTTCTAATCCAATATGAGCTAAATACTAGTTATCCCAAGTGCCAAAATATTGGTGAGTTTGGAGCACTCAAATCATTTTTTGGCATGTTAATTTTGGTGCCAATTTCTCTATGACATCCAAATGGCAAATTTAAAAAACCTTTTGATGTGAGAGCTTTCTATCATTGATACAGGATTTTAAAAGCAGGATGTCTTTTTGGTTGGAAGAATTACCAAAATAGCCCACCGTGACAAATTCATTTGCCCTGGTACATGTGTTTGGTACAGTGGATATTGCTATTAGAAAACATGTCAATTTTTTTTAATTTGGGCTACTGAAATGCTGATGGGCTAACCTATAAATTTCAGACAAAATAGTAAAATCAACATGGAATTGGTATTTGTGAATACATTTTGTAATCAAACCTCAAAAGGTTATGATATTGTCATCAGCTTGGCAGTTAGAAAGCCTATCCACTTGTCATATCTGCACATTTTCAGACCAAGCGCTCTTTGGATTAATTTGAAATTTTCAAGGATTTTTCTTAGAACTCTTGAACTGATTTGTTTTTAGGCATGCAGGATTTTTGTATATTTTGATAAATATAACAAATGCTGTTTCAATATACAGGTAAACAAGATGCACTGGACTTCCTGAATGCAGATGATGGTCCAAAGCAAGGCAAGAAACCAAAACCAGGAGCTCCAGCAAAGAAAGATGATTTCAAGTAAGTAATAATCAGTGCAATTCCAGGGATTCAATGGTTCAGAATCTTCCCTAAAAAATGGATTGTAGGGAATATATGAAACTTTTTCAGGCTTCGTTGTCAAGGAAATGACCTTGCAAAGTGCTATAAAACAGTTTTCAGTTTCTTAATCTTAAGGAGTTTTGTTGATTTAGAAAGCCAAAGAATTGTGGCCATTTTGAGAAATGCTTTCTCATAGTCTTGTCCGACACTTATAAGATGTTTGATGGGATTTGCTAAACTTTGGTGTTGCCATTTTCAAGTCTTGCTTAAGACCTCTTAAGGCTATTTCAGGAGTTCTGGTCATGTTTGCATATGTAATATATTGTATTTTAAATATTGAAGACCCAATCACTTTTATGTACCCCCAAAAATGTATCCAAAATCTCCCACTACATCACTCTCACAAGACATGTATCCATTACTTAATGTTACTTTTTAGGCCAGGAAAGAAAAGAGAGTACAAAAATAAAAAGTTTGGATATGGTGGCCAGAAAAAGCGTTCAAAGTACAACACTAAAGAGAGTGCTGCTGATCTGTCTGGCTTTAGCAGTAAGAAACATGCAACTAGGCCTGGTAAACTAGAGAAAAAGAAAATGGTAAGTGTTGTGTTTTGTATCAAGTCTTAATTAAATATAAAAATAATATTAGAACTCCATAGTTAATGTGTTTCTAGTAGGAAACCAGACTTACAAGTGTCTGCTATTGGCATGGTAATCTCAGTCAATGGTATCTGATATCTTAATGACCAGTACTGAAACCAGATACATAACAGTAAGGACCTTTTAAATTGCAACATACAAGTGTTAAAAGCAATTTTTGTTGTCACTTGGCATTTGAGACACATTCCTTGATTGATACTTTCAATGAAATGATTTTGTCTTTGGCTAATATGTTATTGCCTCAGATGGTGAGCCGTTGAAATCACCCATTTGTTAGGAATATTGACAACATTGGCACTGTTCATTATCTTGTCTTCACATTCCAGAAAAAAACTACCCTATTTAAGATAAAAGATTTTTTCTAAAATTATCAACTAATTAACATGAAAATCCCATTTTAGTAAAATAGTGATTAGTTCTTATGTACACATTTTCTCCTTCTTTTGAAAATATCAATAAATCTGTATATTAGTATATTTGGAAAATAATTGTCTCAAAATACAGAATTTTGTGTGAAATTGATCAAAACTTTCAGTCAACAAAAAACTGGTGAGCCCCTTTGTCAAGATTATTTTAATGTGGAATAATATAATTTTACTAAGGTACATAATGATATCTTGCACACATAAACAGAATTTAACCTAAAAGAACTAATTCAGAGATAGTGAATCTTAATATAATTAATTCCTGAAAACCGAGTCACAATTTGCGCTCTCTCAACAAGTCAAGTAATGTATTGGTGTAAAGTACAAGTGGATCATTAGTATATAAATGAAACCACAGCATCAGATGATCAAAGTCAGCATAAAAGTGCCAATGTGCTTGTGCATGAGCACAATAACTGGATAAAGAAGAAGAAGAAATATAAATCAATACCTTATTGATTATTGATAGAAACTGATCTCTCGATAAGTTTGAATAAATAACATTGAATAGAATAAACATAGCAATATCATTGATCACTACTCTAAGGTCTATACAGGAATTAAGTAATCTATGATAACAATGGCACTGCTTATATAAATCACCTTGTTTCAATGTTAGCCTTGAAAGAAAGAAAGATTTTGTATGTTCAAGTTCTCCAACTTTTAAATAGATTAGGTGAATGCAATGTCTCTGTCTTCAATACTGAAAGGTGACATTTGTTTGCTATGAAAATATTTATCAAGTTTTGAAGTAACACTTTATTTTGTCTGCCTTACCAATGTCATTGTAAATATGATACAGAGGAATGAAGGTAATTGAAATTTTGTATTTTTTGTTGTTTTCAGTCCAACAAAAACAAGCGACCTGGTAAACAAAGGCGTCAAGCTTCTAAGAACAAGAGGTGATATGGATAGGCTCAACAAGTTGACTACTGAGGGAGAGAGAAAATAACAATAGTTTATTGGATTACAGAGATTTTAATTTTACCAACATCAAAGTATTTGATCAATCACAGACATACAACATGTAAAAGACACATCAATGATGTTTTGGCTTGATATGAGTACTGAACATTATGAACTAAGAATAATATTGCATAAATTGAGCATCCAATAAGCTCAAACTCAAATCAGAAGTTCAAGTCAACTTTTTCAATGAATATCTTCTGTATTTGATATTGGGTTAAGATGTTTCATATTTTCTCTTATAATTTCATAATCTCTATTACCGTATGTACAGTTTCTTAGAATATCTCTTAATGAATAAACAAAAACAAATTATGTATGTTTTCATATTTTTATTATTTAAGTATATATTTAATTGAACACTAAGTTCTAGTTTGCAATAACAATTGCAACGAATGTCTTTGCTTTCTTTCTCAGATTTTATAGAAATAATATCTGCAAAAAGAAAGCATTGGTTCTGTTATGAATCAATTGAATTGATGAATTTATGTTGAATAATTACTATAGGTCAATGGCTAACATTTTTGAAGTGTATTTTTTCTTCGTCAAAAATATTGCACCTTTGAATTTTACTTAGTTTGATGCGAGAAAGAATTGCTTGAACTTAAATGATAATGAACATAGTTGATTGTACAATTCCTGAGTAAATTGTAATGTTTTCATTTTAGTGCTATATACAACGGTCAAAACTGTCATTCATATTGACTAATGAATAATACATGTATGATTTAGTCAAATTCACTCTGCATCATTGACCAAAAATTATCTGCATTGCTTTATTTTACGTTTATTCTGTTCAGCCTAAAATTTAACCCTTGGTCATAATAAATAAATCAATTAGCTATTTTCATGATTGTTGTGTTTAAACACTTTAGGTTAAACTAAGGCCAATGAGGTTAAAAGAGCAATGTGAACTGACTGCTCATATAAAAATTATGATTCAAAAATTACTAGATTTGCAGTGATCAGTATTCTAATAACAATAACAGACTAGCATTATACTTCAATGAAACAATAAACATGTCCATTCGTTCCACAATCTCACTCCAAATTTAATGGAGGCTGTGAAAATGTCAGCTGATCAGTATCTGATATAAACAGATTCTTTGGTTCCATATTTATGCTAAAACTTTGTCTCTATGCTTTATTGAGCAAATAAAGGGCAAGAAATTCTCCTTCAGAGTTCATATTTCCTTGCAAATTGTCACTTGTATACGTAAGAAGACATTAATTGAGATTTTCAGCTTGTTCTTTGAATCGCCAAGCAGCATCCATATATTTTGTGATTTCAGAGTTCTGTCTGTAATAGTGTAATCGCCTATCTCCTCTATCTGAATCAATCTGAAAATAAAGAATGAGCAATGTTTTAAAAGAAAGCCATATATTTACAAACATGTAATTCATGTATGGTAATTGGCAGTGGCACACCATATTTTTCTAAAAGTATCAAGAAGTACCAAATATCAGATAACCTACCTTGGTTGATAGTAACAAATTATATGCTTGGGATATGGGGTTATATGGAGTTATACGTACAACAAGTCATGATCACAAGCTTAGTGCTTACATAAGACGTGTAAGTGTATCTAGTAATAATCAATAGCTAAAACTCAATATATGCACTTACCAGTGGTCTAGTGATCCAGCCAACTTCTTGAGCCTCTGTTTGGGGATATGAATATTTTTTCACGGGTTCCTGATGAGCACGCCCAATCACCTTCCTGAAGTGTGTGTCCTCTTCCCCCTCCTCTGTGTCATGTGAGGAGTTTGGTTTCCCTGTGATGATGTGAACTGCAAAAAATCAAGGTAGATTATGAATATAAGTCTTGGTACATTCTTTTCATTGTTCTTACAGATTTGGACTGTATGACTTTATTCAGCTTTGTTATCCCTATGTCTCAACAGTTAGAACAATATGGAGTGCATTTAATATGGCCATGCCAATAATTTACATGTAGGCTTATGCCATACGACTCAGATACTCGGAGGAAATACTCACTCTTTTTGAATGGATTTACACTGTAGTTCTTGTATAAAATCTGTGTCTTGTTCTCTTTTCCTATAGTTTCACACAGAATTGCATTTTGATGAACAAAATTTACTGGATCCTTTACTTTTTGAGCTTGTGCCATGATTCTTTTCTCCCTGTTTGCTTCTTGATGTTTATTGTTGAAATGAACTTTGTTTGGTGCTTGTGTTTACTGTGTTGCTATGTTTGGTTGCTAAGGCGCAACTTTCTCAACACAGGGCCTCACAGGCCTTCACTATGTGATTTTATTTCAGGAATAAATGTATAACATTTATATTGATGTGATGACAAGACAATAATTGCATAATATAATTAGAAGAGGCTCAATTTGGGGTTTATTTGTTTATTTTGGTTCCATCTTTTGTCACTAGGATCGCTGCAATCTAAGACAATATAAAATGTATTTTGAAATCCTACGTCATTTCAGCTCTAAATCTTTCGACGATCACACATTCTAATTGATATTACCTGTTGCTTAAAGTAAAGTATAAAGATGTCACATTTTAGTTCGGAAAAAAGACAAATTTGGAAAAACTTATGTGTTTGAGATTACATAGAACGACGCCATCTTGCAAATTTGAAAATATTTTTTCAAAATTTCCGTATTATGGTAAGTTTGTTGCTGTTTTGTAAATTACTTAACAGAGCTTGTAATATCAACAGCTAGGTAACATTAGCAGGTATATCTTTTGAAAATTTCACACTATTTTATCACTTCTGTGCCACATAACGGTCGGTTAATAATTTTAAACCTTTGCAAAAATTGAAAAAATCACAAATTTACGGGACCTGGGAGGATTGGATAGTTCCAACTCGATATTCTTTATCTCCAAGTAATGCGATATTGCCGATCATGCCTGTATATTTCTCCGACTGCATGGAGCATAGGCCAAGGGAAAAGTAATAGTAAGCTGTATATAGAAGAAGAGACAGGTCCACAAGTAAGATTGCAAATTTTTTTAGTCTTGGCACGAGTTCTCCTTACTGGTATCAAATTGTATTCCCAAATCTCTCCAAAATCTTCTTCAAAGTGTTTTTCAAACTTATATCATTGTTTTTTTCAAATCTTTATCTAAAAACTGCATATAATACTGCATATAAAACAACAACTATGGAAACAGGGTCGAAACCAACAACTACAGACCCATTTCCCTTACCTGCATATCCTGTAAGTGCCTTGAACACATTGTGCATAGCCACATAATGAAACATCTTGAGGAGTGCAATATTCTTAACACACTACAACATGGATTCAGATCTCGTAGGTCTTGTGAAACCCAACTCATGTTGACAATACATGATCTCGCCAACTCCCTAGATAACCACAAACAAATTGATGCCATTGTTCTTGACTTTTCGAAAGCTTTTGACGTGGTCGCACACCAGCGCCTCTTACTAAAACTCAACAACTATGGCATAACGGGAACTACGCATTCCTGGGTCAAGGGCTTCCTCAGCAACAGGACCCAGAGGGTTATCTTGGAAGGAGCTAAGTCCTCCCCTGTCACTGTAACTTCTGGAGTACCGCAGGGAACCGTTCTCGGTCCGCTCCTCTTCCTACTGTATATAAATGACATCTCTGAAGGCCTAAACTCCAACATCAGACTATTTGCCGATGATTGTCTCATGTACAGAGAGATTAACAAAGCTACGGACAGCCAAAGCCTGCAACAAGACCTCCACAGACTTGAAACCTGGCAAGCCAAGTGGCAAATGCGATTCAATGCCAAGAAGTGTCATGTCCTCCGCATTAGTCGCAAACGCAAGAACATCATCACTGATTACACCCTCTGTAACACCATCCTCTCTGAAGTACCCTCCCACCCATACCTAGGCTTGACCATCTGCAATGACCTAAGGTGGAATGTACAAACTGGGAATGCAGTCTCAAAAGCCACCAGAGCACTTGGAGTTGTGCATCGCAACCTCCGAGGGTGCCCCACATCCCTCAAAGAAAAGGCCTACAAGTCCATCGTTAGGCCCCATCTTGAGTATTGCGCCTCAATCTGGGATCCCCATACCCAAAGAAACACTAATGCCCTCGAGCAAGTCCAACGTAGTGCTCTACGTATGGTCGACAACAACTATGCCAGAGAACCAGGCACGATCACCAAATTATATGATAAGTACCAGTGGAATAAACTTGACACTAGACGTAGCAATAGCAGACTTGCCCTTATGTACAAAATAGTAAATGACAAAGTAGAAATTACATCTTCAGATTTCTTCACCCCCCTCAGATCCAAGACACGCCATAACAATACTCTGAACTTCACCACATACTCCTGTAACACTGATATACTCAAATATTCTTTTGTACCAAGGACCATTGTTGAATGGAACAAACTTAGCGACACCACTGTAACCAGCCCATCAATAGAACTCTTTAAAAAAGGACTATATAATAAGGACTAAATCATTTAAAATCTCACATTAATCCCCTTCAGGGTCACCTACATATATTTTCTGTAAGAAAATCCAGGTGATAAATATATTATGATTATGATTATGATCTGCAATTGCCTGGCAAGCTGAAACTGATTGTCACTGGTGGAGGTCAGCAGTGACCAATCAGATCAATTTGTTTACTAATGAACTTGCCAAGCAATTGCAGGTTTTCAGAAATTCTTTCTTTTAGACAGCATTATTCACTCTATATCATCTGACTGAGTTTCAATCTTAGGTAAGAGCTACAAACTATCAATTTTCTATCAACTCCCCATGGCTAAGGCAGAGTTGTTCACCTGTCTCTTCTATATATGGCTTACTATTACTTTACCCTTGGCCTATGGCATGGAGAATTAACGATATTCTCAATCAAAGCTGGCGTCATTATTGTCGATATTTACCTGGCTGTAAATTCACAATCAGCATTCGAAATATTTAAACTAGGGCAAATGGGTGTAACGTCGACGTGTGGGGTAAAGACGACATAAATTGACGGGGTAACTTCGACACTTACTGATTAGAAGTAGAATTTCCGTTTTCCGCCATGTTTGATTTCTGGAAAAATTTAAATCTCGCAAGATCTAGATCCATGCGAGAAAAAAATGGCTTCCCCCTAGATCGGAAGTTAGAGCAAATAAACAACAAGGTGTCAAAGTTACCCCACATGTCAAAGTTACCCCAAAATGGTGTCGACGTTACACCCCTTCGCCCTAATGATCATTAATTAAGCCACTATTGATCTTGATAATTTCTTATGTGTTTCAAATTTTTTGTTTGGTAATAAGACCAAAACTTGCAATTCAAATTTTGAAGTGAGAAATACGACTCCAGGACTGTTAGAGAATATTGATGTTGCATTCTGGCTGCCAATCCCCCTTGGGCCTAGGCTAAGCCTGGGCTGCAGAAGAAGTAAGTAGCTCCCCTAATTTATATTCATAAGCACTCCCTACATGGTCATACAAGCTTGTGGAACTATCATTTGACATTCACAATTGCAGACAGGCCTAAGGATTTTGACAATTTTCACTTTTCTTATTCAGAATTTATCCAAGAAAGATAGGCTTCCAGAGTGCAACATCGATATATATGTCATGATTACAAAATTCAAATTCAAACAGCCGCCATTTTGTTCACTTCAACATTTGAATTTTGGTCTTATTTCTAAATGAAAAATTCCCAAACTCACAAGAAATGATCAAGATATTGGTTGGAATCTTTTGGACTGTTTATTTTGAATGCATAGTCGGTTATGATTTTAGAAAATAATGACATCTTTATTGTTGGAAATATCGAGTTTCGATCCTGGGGGCAAATCCTCCTTGGAATTCATTACTAACATGAATGCGACTGTCACTTACCTCCCCGAATTTAGTTGCATTTAACCATATCAGCTTTATTTTAAGAACCTTGAAAAAGTACAAAACATTTTTTTAGATTAAATTGACAGAAAAAGTGAATTGGACTGTAGGGTCGGTGTAGACGAGGACCCAGCATTTGACCTGTTCTAATTCTGAAAAGTTGGAAATTTTGAACACAGCGCAGTATATGATAAATGCAAAATTAACCCTATCTTTGTGGTTCTAGACAGTGTAAATTTCTAGATATTGCCCTCTGCTCTGGTGCCACTTTTCGCTTTATTTCCATATGAGATTTCATGAGAATACATAGGAAATACAGGTCAGTAAGGTTCAATTCATCAATTAATGCAGTACAGTACTTGTAATTTAATAGAAAGAATACAATTCAGAGGGCCAAAATCAGGATCATCTATAGAAAAGTAAAATGCAGTGGTGCAAGAATTTTTCAGTTGAAGATGAGGAGCTCTGAATTAGGTTGTCTGCCTGGGTTGTCTGCAAATGTTTCTCTGAAGTTCTGAACTGATACATAAATGGTATAAACTAGGGTTATAAAGCAACCATAGTTACAAGTTAGGGGCATAAGGATAATTGAGTAAGGATATCCCAACTTAATTGTTTTAGCAATTAAAAACAAAATTTTACAAATCGTGCAATTTTAAAAATCAAACCAATAACAATAAGCAATCCTGCCAATATTATGATTATACAAGTGTCCTTGTATTAGGTGATTAAAAACTATTTGTAACTGCCAACTGACTGATTGTTTGTGATTAGTAAAACTGTACCTGAGTACTTCCAACTGTCACATCCACCTGCCTAGATAGAGCCTTGATTGGCCTTCACAGTCTGAGCCCAGTGTGTAATCACATTATGAACAGCTGATGCCTTATTGCATTGATGTTGAGGCCTGCATAACACAGACATTAAACAGTGAGATGCAATCAATTGAAGTAATGAAATAATATTAGGACAGTAATGATAAACAAAAAGCAATGTATACTTTCATGGAGACAGAATTGATCCAGTCATCTGTTCTTGTATATTAAGAAAGAACTATATGAAAATGGATGTAAGTTTATGTAGAGTCCATTTCACTGCTTCAGTTCGTCAGTAGAACGGCAAAAATAAGAAATTGGGAGACCATTGTGCAATAATATATGGAAAAGTATATTCATAATGTACATGAATGACATTTGTATATCTTGGATTGCTTCTAGTTTGGCTTATAAAATGTGTGGCCTCTTATATTTGGATGTTTCTCTGCCATGTTATTTTCAATAAGATTAACATGGCTGAAATTCTTCAAATTACAAGACGACACAGGCTTATTGCACAAAAAACTAAAAAATCTGAAATATACAAATGTCATTCATGTACATTATGAATATACTTTTCCATATATTATTGCACAATAGTCTCCCAATTTCTTATTTTTGCCATTCTACTGACGAACTGAAGCAGTGAAATGGACTCTAGTTGAGGATTATGAGTCTGATATCTTTAGTGCAAGGCTTTATGTACACACTTGGACAATAAAATTGTATATTTTGGAACACTATACACAAATCATCTGATTCCGCTTCTTTAACTCCAGGCAGGATAAAGCACTTTGTTACAACTATACTCTCTGACAATGGACCCTGAATATGAGAGGCGGCTCTTAAGACAGAAAAATGGTCAGATATCACCTTACAAGCAGCAACTAGATAGGACATTATCTCCATATTCCTCTGTAAGTATAATGTAAAGGAGATCTTATAAATAACCCAGGATTTCTCATTGTAATTGGAATGTAGAATATATGAATGCTATTAAACACCAATAAGAGATGCAGGTCTTAGATTTTACAAGGATGCAAATTTTTCTAACTTCCTCCAGGTTTTATTGAGATACCATATTCAACTACAGAAATGACTAGTTTCTGCCCCCCCCTCCCCTTCCTGCTATCACTCCACTATTTTTAGAGCCACATTTGTAAGAAGCAAACATGAGGGTTTGATGTAGGATTAAGATTCAACTTGAATCTTACTAATCTTAATCCATTTTCTCTATAGATTTAACCTCATTACTGTAACCATGTACCTGTTAGACAACAGCTGGCATCTATACATACATGTATACATAGTACATGTTTAATTATTATTTCTCACTTTTTATTCTACCATTGTTTCTTATGTTTAAAATGTAATATATTCACCTAATCCAACCACTTTTGGCAGGTCCAATGGTGTTTGAATCAGACAGGTTTTACTGGTATCTGTGTGGTTCTTATGTTCAGAAAACCTTGAAATGTAAACATTTAATCCGAATTCTCTTGGCTTCCTAGAGGTTTTACTGTAATCTATGTATTGAATTAGCGAAGTATCTTTGGCACACTTAAGCTATATATAACATTTACATCTTATAATATTAGACTGAATTCTTTGTTTTCAGCCTGTCCAAAGAAGTCCAGTGAATTCCCCACAGAAAGACAAGTATGGAGACAGGTTCATACCAAGTCGAGCTGGGGCAAAGTGGGCCATAGACTTTGGAAGCCCTGTAAGTCACTTTGGAATATTTATTCCTCTCAGTTGGTCATAGGTTATTGAAATTAATTTTATGATCTTAAATCACAGCTTATATGTTTTAGTTTCGTTTTGATTCATTATAAGAACATATCTGGGTACTGAAAACTTTTGTTTGTTTTCTGAAATATTGCTTCACTCTTAGGAGGAAGGGAACGCTAAACATATATGTGTGCATTAGTCAGTTTAGATTGTTTATATCCCTTTATCCCTACTCTCAGTTGGTAAAATTTCAAGATCAATACTGCAAAATACAATTTAATTCCATAGACTAGTTCCATTGTTTATTAGTCTGTTAAATATATTATCTAATCTGCACCAATCTAGAATATAATTAAAGTATGAACAGTGGTAGCTTTTTGGATGAACAATGGGGTAAAAATGGAATTATCCGTGAAATGTTAACTTGATGAATGGGAAATTAGTTGATTGTTTGATTAGTTGTTTGATTTTTTGTTGTAGAATGGTGTTTCTCCAGAGAGCCAGCAGAATAGAAAAGCCAGAGATGCTACAACAGATAGCAATAAAGATGGTGTTGCATACAACAGTTTGCTGAAGAATGAACTGCTTAATGCAGGCATAGAAGATCTAAAGGTACTAAGCATGTGTGGTTGACTCAGATGCCATCTTCATATCACATGTATAACAGCCCTCCAAATGGTGTCATTTTTTACATTTTGCCTTTTAGATCATAGAAACCCTTATATACTGAGCAAAGGTCGCCACCATATCAATTGAGTATAAAGAATCACTTTTTGCACTCAATGAACAAAATGCTGAATTTTCAACTAGCATTTTGTCTCGGGTTTAGCTTTCCATACGGTTTTCACCTGTCAAATATTCATTTACTTATGCAATAACAACTCGGAATAAGAGCAACATATTGTATTTCAGGCCCAATCTCCAGATGACAGGCGTATCTTGGTACCAAGTGAGAGCAAGAATCTATTTAAGTACAAAGTGAAGCGACGTCTCTCTGACAGTAGTGACCTCTCACCCTATTCTCTATCGCCAGTCAGCAACAAAAGCCAAAAACTTCTCAGATCACCAAGAAAGGTATATTTTATTAAAAGTGTACTCTGGATATTATATTTACATTATCATACTATATCTAGTAATATGGTGTCCCAGCAATGCAACATAATAAATATAATATTGTGTGTTCTATTTTCAGGCAATACGGAAAATCTCAAAGATTCCGTTCAAAGTGTTAGATGCCCCAGAGCTTCAGGATGATTTCTACTTGAACCTGGTGGATTGGTCCTCTCAGAATGTCCTCAGTGTTGGACTTGGGACCTGTGTCTATCTATGGAGTGCATGTACTAGTCAGGTATGTACAACTTGCTTGCTATGTATTGTTTAATTAGAGGATTTGTGTTGTACAGTATAGTGTTTGTGTGGAAGTATGGATCATACAGGCCTTTGTGATTACTTCAGAAATAATAGTCTTCCTACTTTGAAATAATGGTCCCCTTACCATGTGGCATATGAGACAATTTCTTGAAAATATTGTGAATAACAATTAACAATTAAATTGTGTTCCAGAGTTCTTTTTATACATTAGAAAAATTACGGTATTTCTGGTTAACAATATTTTTGAGAATCTTGTCTCAGATTAGTCAAGAGTGTAATTGCAATCAGGTCACTGGGAGGGGACATTTATTCAATCTTTCTACTTGGTATTGATAAGCAGTATATACACCCTTGGTATACGCAGCTAACGAAAATTGACCGGTATGGGTCAAAAGCTGGACCGGTACGGGTTAACGGTTTTATTTGAATTTAAAATAGCCATAACTTGCTCAATATTGACTTCCTCGTTTCATCAGCTATTGCCCCGAACCGGTCCGTCTTCTCGCTACAAGCAGATTGCCCCGAACCGGTCCGTCTTCTCGCTGCAAGCAGGATGAAATTCTTTGTCACAAAGTTTGGCATTTTTTATAAAATCAAACGCGCGTCATTCAAACTCACAAGATGTAAATAGCATGTCATTTACATCATACCTTGATGGGGAAAAATAGATCTTATATGTTAGAAGTACTAAATAAAAGTTATCGTGAAAATGAGACAGTCGTTCTCGAGAGAAAAGAGCATAAATGCGCATTTAGAGAGTTTTGGTCTGTTTAAAAATCTGTAAAAAATTGGGGTACTTAAAAGCATCGGGAGGCATCATATATTTCAAATTAGACACGAGGAAGTCAATATTGAGCAAGTTATGGCTGTTTTAAATTCAAATAAAACCGTTAACCCGTACCGGTCCAGCTTTTGACCCGTACCGGTCAATTTTCGTTAGCTGCGTATACCAAGGGTGATATATGTTGTACAGTGTTGTATATTTTGGTGCATTTTGTTCATAGTGTCATCCCATGTTGAAGGAGCGAAGCTAGAATGAGTAATGAATGATGAAGTTAAAGAGAGAATCAGATATAGCGAGCAGGCTAAACAAAAAATTGTTCCAATTTTAGAATATTTTTGGCTCATGTAATTCCTTGTCATGTCTATTTTCTAAAAATCACAAAAGTACATACTTTATTCCAGGAAAACTAAAGATTTTTACAATAATGTATTATTTTTCTATAAGAATGGTTACCATTCTTATTATTTGGGAGAATTTAAACATTTTTCACTCATTTTTGCACTTTGAATCATTAATAACTTCACCAATTTATAACATATTGTGAATCTTTTGGGAGATATTGTATTTGATATTGTAAGGAATAGATTGGTAGGTCAATTATACATGTTGCTTGTAATTTTGTCACCCCTATAGATCAGATTCTGCCTTTAATGTTAAGTAATAATGTTAAAATTACGACCTCACTGAGAAAATAACATTCTGAAATGACAATTCTTGGTAGATCTTCTATTCTAAAATTTGCTTCTTTTGGTGTTTTGCTCCTTTAAGACTGGATTCCCTTACTGTTTTATTTTTGATGTGGTTGTTGTATTGAATCTGATTTGTAATTTATAACGTTTTTTTATTTCACTGTATATTTTGATGTACTCTGATTGTAAGTTTTGTTGTGTACCAAAATACTTTTTAATGTAAATGTAATTGCTTTACATGTTGGTGCAGGAAGTATGTTTGAAGTTTTGGTGCTGGCACTTGTAGGAATGTGTATTTAATTAAAATTTTGAAAACCTAGTCAAATCACCTTGAATGTTGCTTGTTTTAAGGTAGGTATTAGTCGAGTAGAAAATGATTGATTTTGATATCCAAGTCTGGGAAAGCAGGTTGGAAAGCACAAGTGTTACAGCAACACTACTTTGAGTTTAGGGGCCTGTTTGATGTTGTTACTATGACAATATCATAATGAAAATTGATTTTGGTGAATGATCATTTTGGGAATCAGGCCCAGAAGTTTAATGCCTGGTAAAACTAGATTAGACCAAGTAGTTAGAAGATAAGATTCAACTTCCAGGACATTTCTCCAAAACTGATGTACAAAAAAGCACCCTGCCCAAAGGTAAGTTTTAAAATCTTCCATTGCCAATCACTTTATGAACTTCAATCTGTTCACTACTACAGTAGTCTTGCATTTGAGCTATGGTCTTGATACCTTCCTTCTCATCCATTCAAATCTATGTTATGAGAAAGCAGTAACTTAAGAATCAAATGCAGACTTAGTATAATGTTACTACATTAGCTTTTGGACTAATGTGGTACAAAGGCCAGGTGATTTTCAGTCAGAAATAGTTTTGGCAATGGAATAGTTCTTACAATTATATCTGCCAGGTTACCATATTAACTGCATGCCTTTGTAGGCGAGTAGGCCAAAGAAATAAATTATGAGTTTAATAGTTCAACTGACCCTATGGGAAAATTTGGTATCATAGCAAAGCTCAGAGAATTGTCTATGTCGTGTGATAAATAATTTGTGTTGGAATAGGTGACGTTGTCATGGAAACGGGCGTTGAACAAAAGATGTCCTTAATAAGAAAAAAAGTACAGCACCATTGCAAGGGATATCTGGTTAAGTCAATGTGCAATTTTGAAAGAATGAAAATTAAGGAATTGAAAGAATTTTAGTTTATCTTCAACATTTAACTCAAAATTATACATATTCTACTCTTTTTTGATTATTGTGATGTCATAATGGTCTATTTTGAATGAAAAACAGTTGGTCTCATATGAAATTATTAACACCATTAGATTGTGTAATCACAATTGCTTACAAATGTTACCTTTATGTATATCAAATGAAAGCTACTGCTCTCACGATCATTTTGGTATATAAATTGTAAACATTGATCATTTACTCTCTGAGATATTATGATATAAGGTGATTTAAATTGTGGCCTGAGTTACAGAAATTATCAGCAGTTCGGCATTATCGCAAATGACAAAATATTGGCGAATTTCTACCATTGTATACATTCTTATTGTTATCATAACTTTAGTAGTATTTTGACCCTATGAGAAAAGTTGGTATCAATGCAAAGCTTTGACAACTGTTTATGATGTGTGATATATGATTAGTGTTTAAACAGGTGCCGTTGCCATGGAAACGGGCGTTGAGCAATAGGTATCCTTAATAAGATTGAAATACGTATAGGAATGGGCATTTCCAGCCAGTGATCCAAATATGTATATTTTATTAATAGCAATTGTGTGGAAATGACTAATTTTTATCAATCTTGAACTATAATGACTAAATGATTCTATATATTAAATTTTAAAGTGTTATTGTGACATCACAATAGCGGATTTCAAATGAGAAACAGTTTGCTTTACATTGTCTCCGTGAAACTGATATCTTCCATGATTACAATTGCAAAAGAATATGCACTTTATGGATATCAAATTAAAGCTAGTGCAATAACGAGTATTATGATAAGTAAATCAACATGATTAGATCAAGCTATGCCGTGGTTTCATGCTTTTGAATCTGGGGTATCAGTGGTTATAGACACAAAATACTGTATGAGAGGTCTGAGACTAACATCTTTTATGCTAGTCTCGGGAGAGGTGGAACAACTTTTTATCCTGATCGATGAGTCTGAAAGTCGCAAGAAAAGTGTTTTCCTCAGTACATACGGTATATTGTCATGTATGTCTCATATCAGACTAAAAGCTTTATAAACATTTAAAATCACTAATTTAAGTAAATACTCCTATTGTGATGTCATTATAATAAATGATTTACAACTTTTGGTGTTTTTAAGGTTGCACTAAACTGTTTTACTCATTTTAGACATGGGTGTGATTTAGAAATAATTATATTCATTAATTCCGATTGGCTTGGTCTCCTTATTAAAAACTATTTAGAAAAGTGTTTTTCGGTGAAACTTATAAATTTTTCTTAATGATTTGAAAGTTTCATGTTCATTAAAAAAATAGCAGGGCGTTCAAAACTTTTGGACCTCCTCGTATATCAATTTTGTGAAGACTAATTATACCACTTTCGGAATCCATCGAGCTGTATTTGTATGAGATAATTTTTCACAAGAATTATTTTTTTGTGAAGTCGATTATAAATATTTTTGTTATTGAAATGCGTACAAATGAGAAACTAATGCATATTTCTACTTTGGTTCAGCCTTCAAATTTTGAAATCACGACATGTCCATATGTATGTGGCAAAAATATCAATGTTGTACTCCATGAGCCAATCATCCATGATAACTTCACATACTGTACGGCATGGTCACATGACCTCAAAAAGTCTGCAAAAATATTCCTTCAATAAATGCTTGATTATTTGAGGATTCTTTTCATGTAGTCGACTATTGGATAAGTATCAATTTTATATTGTGAAATATACTTTAAATATAATTAACAATTTAATTTGTATACAATCAACAATTTTAAAGAATGATTTCATAAGAATTTATCATTCAATCAAGTTAGGAATACTGTGTTTATATAAATCAAATTTTGGTTCTGGCATCGCCTATTTGAAGGAGTTGCTATGTTTTAAATGGGAATTATTTGAGCTAAGGACAATGTCTATCAAGGCACAGCCAGGGATAGGGCCTTTTATGGAACAAAAATGCGAACTACTATGGATTGACGGGATACCACTGTGGCCTTCTATGGAACAACCATGACCATGTAGTAATCTACAAGAGTCTTCCTTGAAATCACTGTTGTGCTGGTACTGGGGCTTCTATGAAGCCACTGTCCCTTATTCTGAAGATTCTAAATGCCAATCAGGAACTTCTATGCAGACACTACCATATGTATGGAAATCATTAAAGTCTTATTTGGACCTAATGTTTTCATCATTGAAAAAACGAAGGCCCTCCTTCAAGGAACTGTCTTTTTTTTCTTTTTTTTATACATAGATTTATTCCTTTAGTTAACAATTATAGACATGCAATTGATTGCCAAAGTTTTATAAAAAACATTAGCGGCAATTTTAGACAATATGGATAGGAATGCATTAACATTTAAAAATTCATCAAAGTAATGTTATAACTCATATAAGAAACTATAATCCCATGGGCCAGGGATGAGTTAACACATGCATGCAAAAATTAGCCAAACCAATCAATTTGGCTCAAACTTTGATCCACAAAATGGCTCATTAGTTCTATTAATTTTTCATTTAATGAATTATCTAAATCTTCATCACCATACAAAAGAACTGAATTTTGTCAACTGTGTTCAAACTCTGAACCAAAAGATGAAGATCTATCTTTAGTCTTTTATGGTTCCACTATTTTGGATCTTCAAGGATATTCTCTAAGGCCAACTAGGAATCACTAGGGGCTATAGACACAACACTAATACCTATTAGGGTACAAATCGGGTCAGCATGTATGAAGTATGGTGGTCTGTCTGTCATTCTCTGTCTGTCCAGACATCTCCTCCGCCTAGACCGTTTGACCCTGAGCTCCCATACTTGGTCAACATACTAAGTGGATTGGTGGACATTCTACGAAGATCAGAGGTCAAAGTCATTTAAAGGTAAAAGGTCAATATCTAGGTATTTGGCTTTTTAAGACCCTTGATCTGTGCTATGACCCTTGACGACCCATGATTAGGTGCTCGGAGGTCAAGGTCAACTTTGTGGGGCAAGGTCATTCCCAGATCGAATGCATCTGGGGCTCTAGTGACCTTTGGCGACCAATGATAAGGTGATCTGAGGTAAAGGTCATTACTAGGCCAAATGTCAATATCTAGGTATTTTGAAATTTAAGATTTCTGGGGCTACTTTTACCCTTGGTGACCAATGATTTGGTGACCTGAGTTCAAGGTCAATATTTACGGGTCAAGGTTATTCCAAGATCAGAGGTCAATACCTTGGTATTTGGCGTTTTAATGCATTTGGGACTGCTTTGACCCTTGGCGACCCATGATTAGGTGACTTGAGGTCATGGTTATTCCAAGATCATAGGTCAATATCTAGATATTTGGTGATGTTAGGTCCTTGGGGCTGCTGTGACCCTTGACGACCATTGATTAAGTAACCTAAGGTCAAAGTCAATTTTTATGAGTCAAGGTCGAGGGTTGCTATCTAAGTAAGTACCTTAAGGGCTATTGTGACCCTTGTCGACCCATGATTACGTGACCTGAGGTCATACCAGGATCAAAGGTTGATATATAGATATTTGGTGTTTTAAGAGCCTGGTGGGCTGTTGTGATCTTTGGCAACCCATGACTAGGTGACCTTAGGGTTAAGGTCAACATTATATTTGTCAAGATCTCAAGAACAAAGTTCGACACTTACTTGAAGGATACTGTAACCCTCAGTGACTCATGATTAAGTGACCTGAAGTCAAAGTCAATGTTTCTTGGCCAAGGTCATATTAAGGTCAAACGATCAATACAGACGAGCATTTGATGGGAGCTGTTGCCATGTGGAGCTTTTATGGACCCTTGGTGACCCACTCGAATGGGTAGATTGCTAGTTCTAAGCAGCTGAACGTTTAACTAGGTAACTCTACGGTATTAAGTTTGGAGAAATTATTATCCCAGCGAACGAAGTTCGAATATAGAAAAGCCGTCCGTCCGTTCGTGTGTCCGGGCAATAACTCAAATAACGGTTGACGGATTTCATTCAAATTTTATAGGCTTATGCCTTATGGTTGTAGGACCTCTGCTCGAGAAGGAATTTTCAATATGGCTGCTAAATTAAAAATGGCGGCCATTTTTCGAAAAAATATAATCTTTGATTACTCAAATACTAGTTGATGGATTTGGTTCAAATTTTATATGCTGTTGCCCGGGTACAAAGGAGCCTTGCTGAAGAAGACATTTTCAAGATGGCCACCATATTTCAAAATGGCGGCCATTTTTCGTAACAAAAAACGTTATCTTTGATAACTCAAATACCATTGAATGGATTTGGATCAAATTTCATATGCTGTCGCCTGGATACAAAGGAGCCTTGCTCATGAAGACATTTTCAAGATGACCACCATATTTCAAAATGGCGGCCATTTTTCGTAAAAAACGTTATCTTTGATAACTCAAATACCATTGAATAGATTTGGTTCAAATTTTTGATACTGATGCCTAGGGACATAGGAGCTCTGTTTAGAGAAGGGATTTTCGAGATGGCAGCTAAATTTCAAAATGGCCGCCATTTTTCATAAAAGAATGCAACCTTTGATAACTCAAATACCAGTTGATTGATTTGGTTCAAATTCTATATGCTGATGCCTAGAGACAAAGAAGTTCTGCTCAAGAAGACATTTTCAAGATGGCCACTGAATTTCAAAATGGCCGCCATTTTTCGCAAAAAAACATAATCATTGATAACTCAAATACCAGTGGATGGATTTGGTTCCAATTTTATATCCTGATGTTTAAGGAAATATGAGATCTGCTTCAGAAGAAATTTCAAAGGCGTCAGCTGAATTTCAAAATGGCTGCCATTTTTCATAAAAAAGGTAATCTTGATAACTCAAATGTCATTGGATGTATTTACTTCAAATTGTATATACTGATGCCTAGAAATAAAGGAGCTCTGCTTGAGAAGAAATTTTCAAGGTGGCTGCTATTTATCGAAATCTCCACAATTTTTCATTAAACATGTAATCCTTAATAACTCAAGTACCAGTTGACGGATTAGGATTAAATTGTTTATGCTGATGCCTTGGGACATAGGAGCTCTGCTAAAGAAGAAATCTAAAGATGACAGCTGAATTGGCAACCATGTATCATAAAAACACAATCTTTGATAATTCAAATACCAGTGGATGGATTTGGCTCAAATTTTATATGGCCGCTATTTACCAAAACATGTTTTGTTCGGTGGGATTTGCTACTCCGTGGAGTTGCTGTTTTTCTAGTTGTTTTAGTACTGTTACCTATATTTCGATGTTATACCTTGATAGAATAAATTTCAAGTGAAGAAGGGGTATTCTTTAAATTAGGTCATCTGAAAGAAAGATCATTAAAATATAAATATTTGAAAGTTTCATAAAGTAACTGCATTTAGTTTCAGAGATAAACTTGTATTAACACTATCACTCATTTTCAATGTTTGGAAATGATACTTATATTAATCTTATTTTTATCTTGATTTTGATATGTTCTTTGATTCATACATGAATGTATCTTGATTACGCTAACCTATGGCATAGAGTCTCTTTAATAAATTGAAAAATCACTGAAACTTATCATTTTCATTGTTAAGCAACCACCGGGTACTAGAATTAAGGACCTTCGGCCCTGTGTTCAGACAGTGAATTGTAACCACATTATGTTTGGAAAGGTATAACTTTGTACAGAAAAACTTCTTTTTTGTCCAAATGATATGAGTTTGTTACTTAGTAATTGATCTTATACATGACAAAGTTCCTTGAAAATGGAAAAAGTCTACTTTTTGCCAATTTAAAGTAAACATCGAAAACTGAAATTCCAAGAGCTTTGAAATCTTCACAGGACACAAGTTGCAAATACAGCAACTACTTATCAGTCAAAATTCAATATCAGATCCCATACTAGATCCCATATTAGCCAAAATTCAGTATCAAATCCAGTATCAGAGCTATTCCTTGAGATTTCTCTTGATTTTTACGTTTTCGTTCTATTTTAAGACTTGTTAGTAGTTGAAAATCAAATTGCATCATTTTTGGTCACTATCATCGGGCGATGACATAAAAAACATGAAAATAAACAAAATAAAAAATATTATGGAATACATGGTAATTGATGATTGTGATAGCATACGAATATTATAATTTCTTTGGCCAATCAGATCTAGCGAGTAAGCTTAGCAAAAATTGTTTCTATTTTAGAATATTTTTGATATCATTCCTTGTAGTGTATATTTTCTAAAATTGCCAGAGTGTATACTTTGTTTCAGGAAAATCTAAAGATTTTACAACAATTTATTTTTCTGGCAAATGGTAATAACTTTGGCAAAACAAATTTCATATTGGGCAATGCGCTGAATGCCAGTGTATGTCAAATTAGACAATCATGATTTCAAATACAGTTGTGAACCATTAACCATATCTAGTGGCCCATCTGTGACATGAGTCACAAAAAGGTTATTGCAAAATAAAAGATATGGATGTTTTTTTCTGAAAAAATAAGCTTTCATTTGATCTACATGCAGAGAATATTCAAATAATAGTTTTCTGCACATTCTTATCAATAGTTTAAATAATTCAGTATTAACAAACATTTTGTTCGTGAATCTGTTTGTGCCAAAACAGGTCAATTTAGCCATTGTAGCCAGTACTGATACAACAGAAAGAAATAAGGGTTATATCCACATATATCAAACTGATCATATTACTTTTATATATCACTGAAATCAATAGACCAGTAGCTTTAATATGATATATAACACGGTCACATTCCAATAAAATTGAAATTTCACAATGAATTGCGGTAATTAATTTTGATTTTCAATTATCTTAATCAAAATTCACCATTGTGACATCACATAGCATATATACACTTCAATTAACTGAACTTAATTAGCCACTAATGGTCAATATAAATCAAATCCACCAATATCCTCACATTAGGCACTGAAAGAATACACATTCATAATGTTAACTATGCGAACAAATTGTTTTATATATTTTACTCATATCAAGGACATATATTGTTTGACAAGCGTTTCCATAGCAACAAACCCCATTTCAGTTATAATCAAAATCTATTCCTATGTCTACAAGAACAAAGTGGTAACTGTTCGAACATACCAATTTTATCCATAGGATCCACATAGGATCACTTCATTTGTATTCACAGTATTTCACCAGATCACCAACTAATAATGAATATAAATGCATTATTCTTAATAATGAAATCTCCTATTCAACACCTGTTTCCATGGTAACAATACATGCTTTTCAAATGAGTCAATATCATACATTTTAGATATATACCTCTTTATTGAAATGAGACCAAAACTAATCCAAAGGGCCACAGATATTTAAAGTTATAAGACAATTAAAATGTGTTTTGGTATTGAAATTCACAAACTATGTGCTAAACCTGTGCAATTATAGTAGATTTCAGTAGTTCTGGCCATTGCTTCATCAGAGCAAAATATGCTATATCTCAGTGGGTGATTGTCCAATCCTTTTGTTTCGTGTACCAACGTATTTGTAAGAAAAGCAGCTTTCATTTGATATACATGAAGGTGATATTTTAACTAAATTATAATTACACGATGAATTGGATTAAAGGAGACCAAATGAAATAAACAGTTTTCTATTTGAATTTCACAATTGTGATGTCACAATGTAAATTAGAAATGTTTTATACTACAAAATTAGTCACAAATGTTCAAGATTTACCAATCTCTATTGAATTCTCACCATTTACGCATTAAAAAGGAGAATATTTTTATCATTTGGTGCACATAATCCTGAAATGGGTATTTAGTTCTTATTAAGTATAACTATTGTTCAATGCCCGTTTCCATGGTAACGTCACCTGTTTTCAAAGTAGGTATCTATCACATATTACAGGTCAATATCTCAGCTTTCTAACGATACCAAAATATCCCATAGGGTCAGCCGACTATTAAACTCCTTTATTTAAGGACTTCTGAGGCTTGGCCTACTCGCCTATTGTGTTTAGTTATTGTTTGAAATTTCAGTTTCCATTTATCTCCCAAGCACAGGTCTCCGGACATAGAGGAATTATTCATCTTTCGTTGAAAATATGAAGTTAAGGGATAATGTCTGTAGCCCTATGCTCAGGGGATGTTTGGATTATAGTATAAGGACCCTAAACTCGGCTGTGATAGATGGCAAAGTAGAAATATGTTAACATTGTCATGTGATAAAGGAAGAAATATTTATTATACATAATATGTGCAATACATCTATTTTTTTACAAACATCTACATGACGTTAAAGTCAGTAATTTTTCCACAGGATTTTATTTAGATAATAAATTTAGTTTAACACATTTTTTCTAAATGCATGGAATATTTACATTTAAAGTACACTAGGATGTTACTTGGTCAATTTATATATAGTACATTCTGTAAGGTGTCATATATTTTAATGTGTTCTACCTTATAAATGAATAAATTATTTGTTTGCTGCACTCATCTTTTCTTAAAATACTGTAAATCACAATTTACATTATATATAACATAATACATAATTACAAAACATTTGAAGTAAATGAAGATGGTGATTTGCAAAACCAATACTACATAATTGTGTGTGTTTAGATAAGATTTGCTGTGTATAGTTAAGGTTAACTCTGAGTATCAATCTTGGGCAGTTGACTATTTCATTTCAGTAGAGTCAAATAACATGACTATTTGTCAATTATTCAATCTCAGTTACATTTTGTTCTCTAAAAATTAGAATAAAAATCTTTTAAATGACCTTAAGGAGTATTCGTGAAAAAACTTTTTCCTAGCTATTAATGTTTTACATCCAATTGACATATTAATAGCATTTGACTGCTTGAATAAGTCTGTAATACTAAAGTGTTGTGTTTCCAGGTGACAAGATTGTGTGACTTGTCCTGTGACGGAGATTCTGTCACCTCAGTGTCATGGAATGAAAGGGTGAGTACATAAAGTCTGCATTGTTTCTCTGTCATTTTTCTGTCTCTAATTTTGCCATTTGTGTGTTCCCATACGTTTTCCTATATAAATGAGCGAGGTTGCTACTGCAAAGTTCGCTTGCTCTCTTGATGTGAGAGAGCCGTGATAAAAATATGATGTGTTAAATCAGAATATTTTTCATGTTATTTTCAAAGTTTGCATATTTCGCTTTAAATGCCATTGTTAGGTCTCTCAGTGTGAAACAGTTTGTCTTTGTTAGGTATTCACTTTTCATAAGAGAAATGTTTCCTCTATTGTGAAGTTCAATATTACACTATTTTCAACCTAATATTATAATAACTTTGCTGTTAAACACATAGTATATGACAAATATATTGTTTCTAGGGTAATTATGTCGCTGTTGGAACACACAAGGGCTTTGTGCAAATATGGGATGCTGCAGCTAGCAAGAAAATATCAACACTTGAGGGGCATTCTGCAAGAGTTGGTAAGATATTGAAACTAAACACATACTTGTTGATTTTACAATATTTTCTGTCGATATCTGGACTCGTTCCCGGACTTATCCTTAATATATTTTGACACCGGTCCATGATCGTTGAATGACCCCACTGCATTAATTGTTGCACCTTAATAGAACAATAAAAATGGCTATGAACATGAATGACAGAAATGTGTAACAATACACTCAAACAAAATCGGAATGCTCTTGATGCCACAGTAAACCTCCGTGCATGAAAGAGTGGCGAACTCACAAGTTGATTATATTCTAGGTGCTCTGGCATGGAATGCTGACATGTTGTCATCTGGCAGTAGAGATAGACTCATTCTCCAAAGAGATATCAAGACACCATCTTCCATGCCTGAGAGAAGGCTCCAGGGACATAGACAGGAGGTAGGTTCACATATTTCATGAAGAAAGACCATAGTGGTCCACTATTCAGTGGTTCACCACCAAAAAAAACTCATAGATTTAATTTTGGACAACAGAGTGGTCCATTATACAGTGTTCCACCTTATACATTTAATTTGGGACTATAGTGTTCCAAATTGCACATTTAATTTGGAACTATACAGTGTTTCCACTTGCACATTTAATTTGGAACTATACAGTGTTCCAAATTGCACATTTGATTTGGGACAACTCAGTGGTCGACTATTCAGTGTTCCACCCTGTACATTTAATTTTTTTGTTATTAGGGACCAGTTCTTCTTTCTAGCTTTTCAATCTCATGAATTTCATCACCTACATAGTGGTTTTTTCTATTACCCTGTCATTTTTTCTCCTTCCAGGTGTGTGGGTTAAAATGGTCACCTGATCACCAACATTTAGCCTCAGGAGGCAATGATAACAAACTATTTGTGTGGAATATGAACAGTTGCCAACCTATCCAGACATATACTGAACATTTAGCTGCTGTGAAGGCTATAGCCTGGTCACCCCACCAGCATGGTCTACTGGCCAGTGGGGGAGGTACGGCTGATAGATACATGAGGTTTTGGAATACTCTAACTGGGCAGCCATTACAGTGTATAGACACTGGATCACAAGTGTGTAATCTAGCCTGGTCAAAACATGCCAATGAACTGGTAAGTTAGTAGAATGCATTTTCAGAATTTATTAACAATATATGAATATTAATATTGCAAAGAATATTTGGACTGGTGAAGATTGAGAGTAGCCTATGCCCTACAGTATTAATCATTCTCTTCTTCTATGGTTATATTGAAGCATAATATGCCAAAAGACAAAATTCAATAAATAGAATGCATCTGTATTAATATGTCTGTGTGTGTGATTAAATGCATTTTATTCAATTTAATAATACTGAGATGAACCTAGACTAAGATTTATGTGTGTATACTGTTATTTTTCAGGTGAGCACACATGGTTACTCACAGAATCAAATCCTGGTATGGAAGTACCCATCTCTAGTACAAATCGCCAAACTGACAGGTCACTCATACAGAGTACTGTACCTGGTATGTATAATGTAACTAAGAGTATACTTAGGCTGGGGCAAGGCAACATATCAATGTATTTTGCAAAGCTGAATAATGAAGACTCAAATAGATTCAGACCCCCTCCCTGCTTTTTTCGTTAAAACTTACCAAAGCTGGAAGTTACATTATATATTTTCTAGAAATGATTTCTGTTCTTTTTCAGGCCACATCGCCAGATGGAGAAGCAATAGTGACAGGTGCAGGTGATGAGACACTTCGATTTTGGAACGTTTTTAGTAAAACTAGATCAACTAAGGAATCAAAGTCAGTTCTAAACATGTTCACAAGTATACGATAAAAAATTTTGAGATGGATAAGGAGTAATAATCAGTGATATTTGGATGATATTTACCATTAATGGATGGACATATGGTTGGAGCAATCATGGAAAGATATTTCTGTTGAGATCAATGATAACTAATTTTAAACAATTATGGAAAGAATGATTAGGCGAAGATGTTGCAAATGGTATGCACATAAACAACTTTAATTTCATTCATTCATTAATTAAACATTCTTGAAATGCAAACATTGAAAGACAATCATACAGGAGTCGATTTCTCAAAGATATGTTAGTTTTACTGATATTTGAGATTAGAATATGTAGGGCTTGAATTATGAATTTTCAGCAGGTAATTAATTTCCGTACAAAAATCACCTTTTGGGAATTGAGCAACTGGTTCTATGTTTTAGACCCAGTTATTTTGTTTTTTGCTTTCATTCATTTTGACTGTTGTTATATGTCAGTTGAATCCTTGATCATGCTAGAATATCCAATTGCAGACCTGACATACATTTAATCTATTTGTATTCATTGTATAGCTGGTGGTTATACTTAAAAATGTAACATCCTATACTTATTCAGTTCTTATTGTATAATCGTTATACTAGCAAATTATTGAAATTAATATGTTATATCATATGTGTGTGTTTTCCCAGTTTTTGAACAGATTGCATGAAAATGTTCAAATTCAATTTTTTGGCTCAAGTATTTTCAGTTTTCTATAAATATTTTGCAGTCCCTGACATCAAAACCTAATGTATTATACAGTTACTAAGCATTGGATTTTAGTACATTCTACATTGTTCACAGACTCGGCCAAACATTTTAGTTTCAGTATTTGTTCAGAATTGATCTTCAAGTTTTAGTAGTTGGTTTACAGCAAATCATCTAGTGTGGGATTTATCTTGTAATAGGGTTCAGTTTAAACATCAATATCAAATTCCTTAATTCATTTCTATATTTGTGTGTATTTCTGTTTATAAGTATACCTACTTTCAAAACCTACTGAGGTTCTAGGTACATAACTTGTGTGACAATAGCTAAAGTGTACTAAGAAGTTAGACAAGTATTTCTGTATCTTTACCCTGTGATCTTTTAATTTCATTTATAAATCTTAGAAGATAGAATGTATCTAGAACCCCTGTAAGTATGGGATACATCTGTTATAGTTATCCCAACGAACGAAGTTCGTTAGGGATATAGTGAAGCCCTCCTTCCGTCCGTCCGTCTGTCTGTCCGTCAGTCCGTCCGTCTGTCCGGAAGATAACTTAAATACTAGTTGACAGATTTTCTTCATATTTAGTGGAAAGATGTATATTGATGAATAGTTTTACGCAAAAAATAATTTTTTCAAGATGGCTGCCGCTTTAAAAATGACGGGACTTTTTCGCAAAAATCATAAATTTTTCATTCTAAACCAAAGTAATTAATATTATTGTTTGAAATTTTGGTAGTGTAATTCACAACATTTATCTATTTCACATATATTCCGTGTTTTTCATCCTGACCCCCAGGGGCCATGTATGGGGGGACAGGAAAACAGAAATTTTCGCTAATTTTTAGATCTTTCTGAAGTATAGCTTTATTATACTCAAATGAAAGGCAATTAAGAGTAGATTGCAAATATTGTATCTTTTTTCTGATTCGAGCCTCGTAAAATTCAAAATGGCCGTCTAATGTACGATTTCGCAATAATTTTTCGATCCCTTCAAAGTATGGCTATATTATACTCAAATTGAAGGAATTTTGGAGTAGATCACAATTATGGTATTATTTTTCAGATTTGTACCTCAGAAAATTCAAAATGCCTGCTTTGCAGGATTTCGCAATTCAAAATCTAATTTTTTCATTTTCAACCAAAGTAATGAGTATAATTGATTGGAATTCGGTAATTGATATTTTGTTCGTTGGGATTTGCTACTCCGCGGAGTTGCCGTTATCTAGTTGGTTTTGAATAAGGATTTATCTCTGAGGAAATATATGAGTATCTCCCTTGTTTCTTGAGTCCCTTGGGGGATACACATATTTCCCTCAGGATAAGTCCTGTATTCATAACTTCCCAGTATATAACTCTTATGTATATCAAAACTAATTTATTTATAACTGTGCAGTTTTCAGTTACATGTGCTTTACAGATATAACATAACTTTCTACTGTATGTGACGTACATAGTACTATGTATATGTACTTTGTATATATTAAACAATATAAAATCATGACAATAAATAATAAGAAAATATGAGTCTGGTTGTTTTCGTATATTGAATGAGGAAAAGTATTATATTGACAGCTTGTGTGGAATTAGTTTTATTTCTGATGAACTTCTTACAACCAACATGAGTGTAAGGCAATTTTAACAGCAGATTGAAAAAGAAACATCATCACAATGTCAAACTAATTTAGAAGGTCTGATGAGAATGACTTATTCTAAGTTTCGCACAGAATGCTAGGGTAGAATCTGTAGGAAAGGGAATTTTCATAATGTCCAATTCAAAATAGCCAAGTAGTTATTGTTACGACCGTTTCCAAGAACAACCCCCAGAGACTTAACAGCACTTATGCCAATGCACGCAGGGGGTGTCCTTGATTTTGAATTGATAGGGGCACCTTGCTTGAAAAATGCCTTGTTTGAAAAATAGGAAGGAGATAGTGTCTTAAAAATAGAGTTGCTGCCAAAAAGAGATTTATAAATCCTCAGAATAAAGATGTCACATGTTAAATACTTATAGGATATATATATCAATATCACCGAGTAGATTAAAATGATATTCTGAAAAAATCATAGGATGTTCTTATTATCCTACACTTACAAGGAGTGTACTAAATGTATAATATCATTGCAAAATGAATTCCATGCCAAATAGAGTCAATTTGGCGGGAAATCAACAAACGGAGTATATCGTCACAATATCCTCCGCATATTGGGTTTTCCGGAGTATATCGTCACGATATCCTCCGCCCGGAGTATATCGTTACGATATCCTCCGCCCGGAGTATATCGTTACGATATCCTCCGGATATTCATTTTGCCAATAAATATCAAATTTATTTTTTAATGTTATTATACATTTAGTACACTAAGTGTAGGATAAATCCAATTATCTCAATGATAATATTATAATTTCACATACACGTTTACTCATTCCGTGAGACTTACATGTAGGTATCATTTATCTGAGGGTTAATAAAAAACATTTCATTTGTTTTCAATGAAAAAATAAATGATGGTTGTATCAAGTAGTAAAAGCCTTTTCAGGGTCAATGCGAACGGCATGATTTCCTCGAGTCTCTTCAGTTGCAAGGCAACCATACTGGGACCGATTCGTGTCGTTCCACTACTGCCCTTGGTGGGGGCCCGCTACCATACTGCATGACTCCCTGAGTCTACCAAAGCACGTTAGTGGAGGAACCAACCACAGTCTCACAATCTATCTCTGATAAGAGGAGTCAGAGAACCAACCCATTGCCAAGGGTCGGAGGTTGGACCTTCGAACCGAGTGTCCTGTAGGACTATTATCTAACTCTGTTTGACCTGAACACTGAACACTCTATCTACACAAAAAATCACCAGATTCCAAAATTAGTGGGTGGAATTTTTATGTCACTACGATTTATATGTCTACGATGGAACAAATTCACAAGAACTCGTGTATTTGAAAAAACTAGACTCAGTACCCCTGTAAGAAACTGGATATCTCTGGAGAATGAAAATGGGAAAATTTGGAGTCATTAGAATAAATTCTAGTAGCATGTGTTATCATGTCTTATATACACGTGATCCCCCCATCAATCCGATCTCCCCCTCCATCCAATATTAATTTATTTCGATTATATTTTGTATAACGCATGGAAACTAACTTTAAAAAGTGAGCAATGTCATTAGTGATAATAAAGTCCCTTATACCTATTTATTACAGGTCGTGTAGACCATTGTTGCCCGATTTATAGCAAAAACATTGACTTTTGCACGTTGGTGATGATGCGCCTTTTCTAATAGATCTCAAATCTTAGAAGGGTATCAGTATCAAGGGACTTTCTTATGTTACAGCACAATAGACAAAACAAACTGACATAAAGTATGTAGTATATAGTAACTGATGTATATTTGAGTAAAGTTCTGAAATTTAAATACAAAAAACATGTGGATCAATGACAAGGTTGTCACATTTGTAACACCATTACATTCACACTCAGACTCAGACATGATTCAGAGTGCTTTATCAGTATATTTAATAATGTATATGACATGTTTCAAAACATTCTTATGGTCTGTCCTCAACATTTGATGTTTAAACGCTTAAACACTCACAAACAAAATACTCTGGTTATAGAGGACACATCCTGTAACAAGCATGCAAATTGTAAGTAATAAAATTACTTGTATTTCACCTAGAGATCATAGGGAACAATAGATAAATTATTGAATTAGCTTATTTGAACAGCCTACCCAAACCACATGCATGCACAGGGACAATTACAAAAATATTGTATTTATTAAAAATATATAATTTGCTACTCTATCATGTATTACATGCCTGGCGAGCTAAGCAGGCACATATAGCCTGAATTCATTTATTACCATGATGATATAATAACATCATCTCAACCGAATTCTAGTCACACAAAAATGTTTGCTGTCCGGAATATAAATAAAATAGTCATGGTGATAAAGATGTGTTATACATCAGCTATGTCACTTATGAAATAAGCTTTCATTCTGACCATATATAGGCCTCCCAAAGTCTGTCTTTATTGGCAGAACTCACATAGTTATATTTCACATAGTTAAAGGGACTCATACAATTAGCTACGTTGACCAAAGTGTTTACATTTTCGGATTAGAAGGGTTTATTTGTTTTTAAGGGGTGTTTGCATTGAAGATTTCGTGCAGTACAAAATAATTCTCACATAATGCTTGCGCTGCCCCGTTGTTTTCGTATTCCAAAATAACCAATATAATCACTATTGATAGGTGGATTTTTTTGTTGAATACCTTATTATGTTATTCTAAAGGTATTAAACTATATATTGAACTGAATGAGAATGTATGTATTTTTACAAACCATTATGTATATGGACACTCTCTTACAATATGGTCTGTGAACATTGCTACCTTGAAATGTGTGGGGCAGATATCGGTCGTTCCCAGGCTTGGTTTGGACAATGAAAATAACCCATCAGATAGGAATCGCATCAAGAGAAAAAAGCTGTATAAACGTTTCTGGTCATTGATGGAAAACTTAGGAGCGTGGCGAAGACCAGAATACGTCGCGAAGAAAAGGGCGATGACACCTGGACACAGGAATCATCCGAATGTAATTTTCCTAAGACAGATAATGCCTGATTGCATTACAAAGGTACATCGACTTTTCGGATTATCATCTTTGGAAAATTCACATAATTTACACTGTTAAAATAGATATGTTACGACAGATTTATACATTTATGTGTCTCTCAGATTATCGGCAAATGGACGTTCATCATTTTGGTACTGGTTAGAGGGCCGCACATACACGTAACATGTAAGAGAGGTATTTATTTTCCAGTTGGTGAGGACGAGCTACCCAAATGTGGAGGGGGTGCCATATCAAGGTCACAAATGGCAGTGAAGAACTGGGGATGCATATACAATATAAATAAACATTGACAAAGCTATAATTATTTATTTCTATTCAATTCAGAAAAGGTTTTGTTCATATTGTGAATAAAATATTGAAGTTGTATTACCAAAAATAAACATAAGACTCTGCTATTGTGCCTGTGAAACATATAACACTACATACAATTTTTGAATGTATTTCTGGGTACATAATATTGTATTTTTGTAATCTAAACCAGATACAAAGTACCCAGTCAAACAAACATATATATCACAGTTAATAAAAACATTTTTATCTATGTTCAACCTATTTATATATTTTCTCTGGACGTTTGTTTACGAATAAAAACAATTTATCTATGCTTCCAGGTAACTAATCCAAATCTTTTCCAAATACTGAAATGTTTTCTTTGATTGATATTTTCGCCC